CTAGACAACCATGTGTGAGGTCAGTCATTTTGCATGATGGATGTAATCAAAAAGGTGGAAGTATCTGCTTGCCAATAAAGAATGTTTTCATGAAACTCCTTGAAGGTGTTTTTCAAAATTTCTTTGACTTGTAATTTTATTTAAATGGCTAAGTAGATTGTTTTGAACATGAGTAACCTTTTCTGTGGTTTAATTTCCCTTGGTACACGTTTTTCAGGGACAGAAAAGGTCTGAATTGTGTCAGTGTTATCTCAGTTACCCCCTGCTATTTCATCTTATTCTACACAAGTAAAAAGATTCAGATGCTGGACTTTCTGTGACAGCAGATTTCTGAAAACCATGTCTCCATGCATATTATTACAGAGCACATTGCGTGTTCCCCTTCAGAGTTGGTGTCCCTGATCCCTGATGCCAAGTAATTTATGTGGCTGATACCATCCTAAATACTGGTGAATAGTATCTGTAATCCTGGATAAAATGGTCAGTTAAAATGTCTCCTGACTCCAGGTAAATGATCTATGAAGGGAGTCCTGATGCATGTGTACAGAAGCATATGTTTTTGTAGCACAGGAAGATGACGTGTGTTAACCTTAAACTAATAACCGGCTGTAAATCGCTTAACAGTTTTAACAATGTATAGTTCTGACTTTGTCGTGAAAAACTTTTGGAAATTTGGGCTTGATTACTTTCTATTAGATAAATATTTCTCTTTTTATTTTTAAAATTTATTTATTTATTTGAAAGAGTTACAGAGAGAGAGGGAGAGATAGAGCTTCTACCCACTGATTTACTTCCCAGATGGCTGCAATAACTGGGGCTGGGCCAGCCTGGCGCCTGGAGCCAGGAGCTTCTTACAGGTGTCCCATGTGAGTGGTAGCAGAGGCCCAAGCACTTGGCCCATCTTCCACTGCTTTGCCAGGCTGTGAGCTAGATCTGAAGTGGACCTGCCAGGACATAGACCAGCCCCCATATGGGATGCTGGTGTCGCGAACAACAGCCACAATGCTGGCCACTGTAGATAAGTAGTTACATTCTGAATGATTCTAGGCAGCTGGTATCTTAAAATTTTCTCTGTACTGTTGTTGGTTTCATGTGACTTTATGAACACAACTCCAGGTTAACAGCTATTCGGATGAAAACCGGGAAAGAGTGAGAGTAAGTTACTTTTGCCGACTGTATGACAGCAGTTCTTTTCTTCAGAGGGCCTGATAAATAACTCATTGTCTTGCTCTTAAAGCCATCTTTTTCTGTAGACTCACTGAATGAGAGTGTGTTAATTAGGCAACGTGAAAATGGCTAAGAGACTCGAGAAGTGGTGAAACATTTCTTTCTTCACTAAATTCTCTTTGTTTCTTTACCATTGTCAGTTTACATCCATTCCATAGTACTGTTTAAAATGGTTTAAATTTATGTAGATATTTAAGCCAGTAACTTTGGGGATAGAAAATGATTTTAAATTAATATCATTTTAATTTTATTCCTTTGATTCGAGTTCTTGGCTTGTATTTTTCTTATAGAATATCTTTTGGTGTACTTTCTAGAACATAATCATAAAAGGCCTTTTCGTCATTGTATTTCCTGTGTTTAACAAAGTCTTCACTTTGCTTTCCATTTTTATCTTTGTAGGAAAGGCTTGTTTCTTCAAATGTTGGCAGGTTTTAACATTGTTATCCTAGGATCAAGAATGATAACACTGTAGTTCTGATTTTTGTATGAGAGGCTATTGACTAAAAAGTAGCAGCTCTGACTGGCCTTCAGTTGCCGGTGGCTTTATCATAATGCCAGCCTTCTTTATCAGCATGCTGATGTGAGTCATGCTGCTCTGCTTGCGATACAGCTCCCTGCTAATGGCCTGAGAAAGCAACTTGAAGAGGGCCAAGTGCTTGGGACCCTGTCACCCACATGGGAGACCCAGATGGAGTTCCTGGGTTCATCTATGACCTTAGCTGTTGGGGCCATTTGGGGAGTGAATCAGTGAATAGAAGGTCTCTCATATGTCTGTCTCTCATTCTGCCTTTCAATTACGTCTTAAATAAAAAGTAGTAACTGGAAGTACTATAGATATTCAGACAGTAGTAGGCTTGAAAGTGAAAGTTGAGTGGCCAGCACTGTGGCATAACAGTTAAAGCCTCCGCCTGCAGTGCCAGCATCCCACATGAACTGAGTCCCAGCTGCTCCACTTCCGATCCAGCTCCCTACAAATACACCTAGGGTAGCAGTAGAAGATGGCCCAAGTGCTTGGGCCCCCACGCCCACGTGGGAGACCCAGAAGAAGCTCCTGGCTTCGGCCTGCCTCAGCCCTAATTGCAGCCATTTGGGGAGTGAGCCCGCAGATGGAAGATCCCTAGTCTCAGTTCTCTCATTCTCTCCCCCTCTCCCTCTTTCTTCCTTCTGCCTCTCCTCTGTAACTGTTTCAAATAAATTAATAAATCTTAAAAAAAAAAAAAAAAGATGAGCATAGTTGAGTAGAAGTGGAGGTCTCCCAGTCACCTGGAATTTCTAACTGGATCTCAGTGTTTCGGCATAGAAGGCAGCAGGATGAAGTGATGTGCAAAGTGGAATTCAATCCAGGTCTCCCATGTGAGTGGCAGAAACCCAACTACTGGAACCATCGCTGATGCTTCCCAGGCTCTGGATTAGCAGGAGGCTGGTGGTAGGGGTGGTAGGGTCCACAGCCAGGTGTCAAACCCATTTACTCCAACATGGGAGAAGTGTTTAACACACATCCTAACAAGCCAAGTGCTCACTCCTTAACAGATTAAAACAAGGAGAGGAATGGTTCTAAAAGAAGTGTCAGTCTTGGTTCAGTTCTGGGAGTAGTAGCCTCTGTCGCTGTTAAGTCAGAATGTCCTGGTGGTTCCCCTGGGGTGAAAAAGACTAAGGAATGACCTCCTGGGAACTGACATGTGTGAGGCACCTGGTATTTTTCTGAGTCCTAGTAATTGTAGGTGCCGTGAGTCTACAAGTTTGAAGATAAGAAAGGACACTGTTCTATGAATACATGGTTGAAACCTCTCAACTTAGTAACTCTCATTTCATTACTCAGAAACAACCAAAGATTGCCTACTGTATGATTTTTTCTTACAGATTTTATATCTATATAGTACATGCTATGTAGTCTTAGCCTATGTAATTGCAATTACTCAGGTTTTTTAATTACCATTTCAGCCGTTGGCACCTTTTTTTTTTTTTTTTTTTTGACAGGCAGAGTGGATAGCGAGACAGAGAGAGAGAAGGTCTTCCTTTGCCGTTGGTTCACCCTCCAATGGCTGCCACGGCTGGCGCGCTGCGGCCGGCGCACCGCGCTAATCTGAAGGCAGGAGCCAGGTGCTTCTCTCCTGGTCTCCCATGGGGTACAGGGCCCAAGCACTTGGGCCATCCTCCACTGCCTTCCCGGGCCACAGCAGAGAGCTGGACAGGAAGAGGGGCAACCGGGAAAGAATCCGGCGCCCGGACCGGGATTAGAACCTGGTGTGCCGGCACCGCTAGGTGGAGGATTAGCCTAGTGAGCCGTGGCGCCGGCCAAATTACCATTCAGCCGTTGGCACCTTATTTCTGAATATATTATCTCATCCTTTGTTACTTTACTGCTGACACCCCAAGAATATGAAAGCGAAGTTAGTGAAATCTCATCACAGTAAGTTTGGAGTGCACTGAAGTACATGTTGTAACCTTTTTATTGGAAAGCTACAGAGAAGCAGATGCTGCTGAAGACTAGTCATGTGGCACTCGTGCCTCTGAAATCAAACGGGTTTGAGTATTGTTGACTTTGGCTGCAAAGTGCTGTCAGTTTGGCTGAACTTAAGAAGAAAACTCTCAGTCGCCATTAGATATTGTTCTTGTTCTCTAAATTAACTCCATTATGCAATCTTCCACGCAAGCAAAGACAGCAGAAATGACCGAGAGTTAAAGATTTCCAAATAACCTTTATCAGTAGATAAGGATACCTGCAAACATGCATGAGTTTCACTGTTCTTGGAATTATTTTTGGGGAGCAAAATGTTATAAAACTCTTAATTTTGGGCCGGCGCCACGGCTCACTAGGCTAATCCTCCGCCTTGCGGCGCCGGCACACCGGGTTCTAGTGCCGGTTGGAGCGCCGGATTCTGTCCCAGTTGCCCCTTTTCCAGGCCAGCTCTCTGCTGTGGCCAGGGAGTGCAGTGGAGGATGGCCCAAGTGCTTGGGCCCTGCACCCATGGGACACCAGGAGAAGCACCTGGCTCCTGCCATCGAATCAGCGCGGTGCGCTGGCCGCAGCACGCCGGCCACAGTGGCCGTTGGAGGGTGAACCAACGGCAAAGGAAGACCTTTCTCTCTGTCTCTCTCTCTCTCTCACTGTCCACTCTGCCTGTCAAAAAAAAAAAAAAAAAAAAAAAAAAACACTCTTAATTTTGATATTTCTAAATAATACTGCCCTTTCTGGTAAGTTACTTTACCAGTGTTGATTTCCATACTTTTTTCTTATATTTTAAAAAAGATTTATTTATTTAGTTATTTGAAAGGTAAAGAGACAGATCTTTCCTCCACTGGTTCACTCCCCAAATGACCGCAACAGCCAGGTCTGGACCAGGCCAAAGCTAGGAGCCGAGAATTCCAACTGGGTCTCCCACATGGTTGGCAATGGATCATCTTCCATTTCCTTCCCAGGCACATTAGCAGAGGAGCGGATCAGAAGCAGAGCAGCCAGGATATGGGATGCCATGCCGGCCACAGAAGTGCAGCTTCAGCTGCTGTACCACAGTGTTGGCCCCATCTATGGGCTTATAAATACAGATTTTAAGTGTATTTATCATATAAAAATTCCCTAAAGCTTGTAACTTTAACTCTGTCCATACTTCTCGAAGTAAGAACTAACACAAGCCTGTTGTACAGGCTTGAATCCTTTTGTATTGACGTAATGAAAATGACAGACTTGCATTCCAAATCATGTCCATGCACAACAGTGAGTGCACAACATAGAATAATTGGGTCAAGCCTCAGACACAAAGGACCATTAGATGATTCACAAACTTTATCTTAGTTTTTTAATTAATCTGTTAGGGAAAATAATAAAATTATAAAAGATGTTTGCATTTCTAGAACTGTAAATTTGTGGCTTAAAATTTTTATGTCTGCAAATATGTCCCTTAATTCCACTTTGTGGTTGGTTTTCCAATCAAACTAAGTTTTTCACTTAGATAATTGCATTTAGGGTTACAAAGAAGCATTTTTACTATTTCCGCTTTATTCTTCCTTCTATACCTCTTCTCATAGTGTATATGCACTGTGTCTGAAAATCATAATGATTTGCATGTAGGGGTAGGGTGGAAGTGAGATTTTTTGCTTTGCTCATATACCTCTGAATCTTCAACACATAACTTGCTTATTCTGCTATTTTCTTCTTGGGTTTTCTTCCCTTGGTTCTCCATTCTTCTAAGTATCCCTTCCTAATGTTCTGATTCACTGGGAGCGTTCTCTGGAACAGTAAGCATTCCATCCTAACACATGCACGGAGAAGAGCCAAGTATGGACGATCTCACCAAGGGCAGGGACCAGCTGAGTCTTGGCGACTGACTTCTGCTTGTGGCTAGATGAAAGCTGTCGAACACAGATCGGTTTTCAAGGATGCCTTACCTAAAAAATTATATTTGTTTTAGTGCCAATTCAACTCCCAAATATTTGTTTATTGAATCATTCTCTGCAGAGAACTTTTAAGGGTATTCCGAATGACTTAATTACAAAAAATTAGTTTTCACTCAGCTGTTCAGTACGTCTCTGAATACCAACGAGTTAAAATCTTTCATAAACATAGATCCTGACATAATCTCTACTGTGACATCACTTGAGTTTGTGTACCTTTTTCTCCCAAACATCATTTCATGTGGCCTTCACAGGAACCCTGGGAGAGAAAATGTTATCTCCATTGTCTGGAAAATGGGGGAAATGTTAAATGACTTGTGAAGACACGCTGTGAGTAGAGAGGAAGTCAGTGTGCCTGCTTAACTCTTGATGTAATCCAGAAAAGCGTAACAAATGTATTCCATTGAAGTTCTACATGACACAGGAGCCTTCAAAGTTGGGGCGGGAGTTGGGGGCTGTCACGTTTAAATTCAATGAGGAATGGAGAACAGGTAGTAAAGTGGAAATCTGAATAGACGGTAGGCTGTGACCTGTAATAGACTGAGGGTGGAGCCCGGCAAGGCTGTTCAGATGGTCTTGGCCTTCCTGTGTGGCATTCCTTCTTCATAGTTATGGGGCAGGAAGGACCCTTCTGGAACAAATGTCTCCAAGGAAGAGGGAGAAGATGAGTCTTTTAGATTTTTGGACTGGACCTGGATGAGAGGGATTCTAGATTTACTACTTGCCTTATGGGAATAAGGATTCTGGCCTCTATGAATTACTTTTGGGAGAGAAAGATGTAGAGGGCAGAAGGGCAGCAGGTCAGAGAAAGAGTTTCTTAGGCTTTCCAGTCTCCTGTAGTTCAGCATGCCCAAGTGTCATACCTTAGGGTACCATATTCAGAGCCACCAGCATTAACAACCATTGCTTTTGTTTAATAGTAACCTGCAGTGTACATACAGAAATATGAGGGTATTCAGATTAAAATAAATGTAAGTGATTTCCTAAAGGATATTCAGCGAATATGGTAACTCTTGACTTCACTGCCCAAAACACCCTCAGCTGCAGTGTTTACTTATGAAAATTTGGTGCTCTATTTAACTCCCCTGTATGCATTTTTTTGTTCCGTTACACTTTTTCCTCAAATGTTTGCTGCTTTTGTTTTTCCAACCTACCCTAACAGCTGTGGTACATCAAGAATGATGTGACCAAAAATAACATTTGAAAGAATTTGGGACTAATTCTGTAAGAATATTCTATATCTTTTTAAACTGGAGGTGTGACTTTTTCACATTGATCTAGTGTAAGAATCTGGTATTCTTACTCAGTTTCAAGTCAGAAGAGATAGCCACATCAGTCAGATATCACTACTGCATAGCAATTAGAAATATCAAAAATATCACTCATGGTGTTTCCCTTTCCTTCATACAATGACTTGAATCTTATGCAGCAACCAAGAATGAAAGACAAAGGAAAAACAGCTTTTCCACTGACCAATATATATGTATGGGGAAGAAGCCACATCAGGTCACGGGGAGTAAAGAAATGCTTGGTGTTTTCTCAGCTTGTCGTCATCTGGCAATAAGCTGGTGCTCTTCTCACAGCACTTGTTAAGGTGCAGCTGACGATAAGACAGAATCTTACAGTTAGCTTTGACAAATTAGCATGAGGACATCAGGATATGGGGAATGGTTATTTGTCCTTGTCTCCACCAGGGGGTGTTAAGGTCTGGAAAAGGCCTCCCATCAGTCTTTCTCTTGGCAGCTTTAATAAAAGGAAGGGGAAGGAGCAAAGTTGCTTGCTAAAATAACAACGACGTCAATATCATTTACAATGCCTTCTGGAGTCACCTGAAGCATAGGGAAGGAACACGTGGCCAAATGCAATTGGCACTGTCCGAGATGTCGCGAAGTCTGACTGTAAAATGTTGTCAGTATAGCAGAGCAGGGTTTTTTCCAGCGGCGTGTTGCCCACTGAGCATTATCCAGATGCTCACCATTTGAGTGAATGGTTCGCTGGCCATTCTCCCTGGAAAGCACTTAAAATGCTCTGCAGCAACACATTCTCCATTTAAATGTACTATAATAAATTTAGTCTTTAATTCTTTTTCTTTTTTTTAACCTGTGACATACTCATTCCTTCTGTTTGCCTTGACTAAATTCTGGCTTCTCACATTACCATTCTTAGTTTGGTTTACCTTTGTAGTCCTTAATTCTCATCACAGTGAATTCTACTTAGATCTTCCAAAATTGAAACAACCGTGTAATCACCAAATCCAGTAACAAAGAGATGTGTGAGAATTGTAAAATAAAAATGCAGAGAATTGGCATAAAGGTTGAACATCCTAAATTTCCTATCATGTCTGCACCATGAACTCTGCAAGTTCCAATTTTCTTATTTCCAGAATGGAGAGATTATTTATTTATTTATTTATTTTGACAGGCAGAGTGGACAGTGAGAGAGAGAGACAGAGAGAAAGGTCTTCCTTTGCCGTTGGTTCACCCTCCAATGGCCGCTGTGGCCGGCTCCGTGTGGCCGGCGCACCACGCTGATCCGATGGCAGGAGCCAGGTACTTATCCTGGTCTCCCATGGGGTGCAGGGCCCAAGCACCTGGGCCATCCTCCACTGCACTCCCTGGCCACAGCAGAGAGCTGGCCTGGAAGAGGAGCAACCAGGACAGAATCCAGCGCCCCGACCGGGACTAGAACCCGGTGTGCCGGCGCCGCAAGGCGGAGGATTAGCCTAGTGAGCTGCGGCCCTAGAATGGAGAGATTATAAAACAATCTGGTACAGTCATTAGAGGAAACATTAGGAGGTTTGTTTAAAATTTTAAAATAGAACCACCTTATTATCCAGCAGTTTTGCTGCTGGGTATATATCCAAAGTAAATAAGATAACAGTCTTGAAGAGATATTGACACTCCCATGTTCATTGTAGCACCATTCACAACAGCCCAGATATAGAAACAACCAAAGTATCCTATAATAGATGGATGGATTAAATGTGATGTATGTATACAATAGAGTTTTGCCCAGCTCTTAAAGAGAAGGAAATCCTGTCGTTTATTATAATAGATAAACCTTTACGACATTATACAAGGGAAATAAGCCAGGTGCAGGAAGATCAATGCCATGTGATCTCACTTGTATTTGAAATCTAAAAAAACAGGTCAAACCCATAGTAACAGCAAAATGGTGATTATCAGAGCAGTGGGGCAAAAATTGGTCAAAGGTATGAACTTCCAGTTATAAACTTAGTGATTTCTTGAAGACCTGATGTTTGGTAACTATAGTTAATAATATGTTATAAACTTGAAATTGCTGCAATAAAATTTGGCTCAACTTACACAATTAAGTGCCAAATGTTTACTATGTTAGGTAGCTTGATTTTTGTGGTAATTTCACAATGTGTATATACAAGGGGTCTTTAAAAGTTTTGTGGAGAATGTGCATTATGAAAAAACTAAGCATGAATTTCAAAATGGTTTTGTATCAAAATAAATTGATACTGGTGGTAACATGTCTGAAGAAGATCTAGTTTGAGGCACTAAGATAAATACATCATAGTTTAAAAGTAAAAACATGATCAGAACCATATACATTTTGCTGAAATTGAATGAGAACAAACATTTAATTTATGGTGAAGCTTGGATAAAAGAATGGTGAAATGACTGATGTTTTACAAAAAGTTTATAGGGTCAATGCCCCAAAGAAATCAGCAGCTTACAAATGGATAGCTCATTTTAAGAAGGAAAGAGATTATGTTACAGGTGAAACCCTCAGCAGCAGACCATTTGTAACCCTGGCCATGCCCTACTTGAAGAGGACTGGCCATAAATAGTAGAAAATAGCCAACTCCATGGATGCCTCAATCGATTCAGCTTACACAATTCTGACTGAAAAATTAAAGTGGAGCAATCTTTTTGCTTAATAAGTGACAAAATGATTGTTCCCAGATCAACTACAGGCAAAAATAGAGCTTTCAATGGAAATTCTAGACAAGTGCTATCAAAATCCTCAAATATTTCTTCATAGAGTTGTAACAGGAGATGGAATGTAGTTTTACCGGTATGATCCTGAAGACAAAATACAATCAAATCAAGGGATACCAAGAGGAGAACGTGGTCCAATCAAAACCAAAGTGGATTAGTCAGGGGCAAATGAATAAGTTTACACAAATAACAAAATTAGAAAACAGATTTACTGTGGGATTGCAATTTATTTAAAAAAAAAAAAAAACACCTTTTGGAACCGAAATTTTTGTCTTCAGTATCATTCCTCACAAAAGAAAGCAGTCATCTTGAAGAAATGGATAATTCCAGGTGAATGTCAGGCAAACATATACAAAGGCCAAGTTAATTTGTGATCAAAAGTTAGAAAGCTTTCAAAGATCAATCCAGTCATATCAAAATGGCATGAATACCAGGTTAATCAGTTCTCATGGACCTAATTTGGAACCATTTGAGCATCAAGATTATAGGAAGCTCCAGTAAAAATCCTTAAGCTCATCATGATTCTCAAATTCATCGTTTGTCAACATTTAAGGTACCCATTAATTTAACTCCTTCCTTTGAATATGGTTTAGCAGAAGGTGGAAAGTTCCATGCACTTACCCTGCCTTTCCGGTCAGATGTGTTTATCTGAGTAACCAGCATTCCCAGATGATACAGCTGTAGTTCCAGAAGAATGCCAGCTAATAAAGGAAGATGATAATAGATACAGTGTGAAATCATCATTCTATGAAGTTAATGCTTAGGCAGAGGTCATCAGTTGCTAGTAGAATTATTAGGTGACCTTCTCTTTCTCCTCCTCCCCTCTCTCCCCCCATCCCCATACTAAAGGAGACACAGCTTTTCTCCTGGCATGTTCCTACACTGCTGATGTCTTCATCGTTCTTTTCTCTCAATCCTCCCGGGAATCTGAGTCAGACTTTCCCTCTGAAGTGCCTTGTATAACACTGCAGTTGCCTCTCCAATTCTCTCCCCAATTTGGACTCTGACTTTTATTACCCTCAATGGTCAAAGCAGCCATCAAAAGTCTTTTTTCAACATCTTCTTTCTTAAGTAAGTCAAAATTCTCACTGTGATCTTTAATATTCAGATTTTAGCTGCTTATAATTGAGATTAAAATCTGATCTCATCCATATTAATCAAATCAAATTGGCTTTTGATTTGCTAGTAATTTGACTCACTCATTTGACTGCACTCTACTTGTCATTCTCTGCCCCTTGCATAATGATTTGCATTATTTTTACTATGCTTAATTTATAATTCCTCCAACTTTTATTTTTAAAAGCACACCCAAAACACTATTTTCTAGAGAAGATTCACTGACACTGGTAAATAAAGAACCAATGTTGAAAGAAAAAGTGAAAGTGGTGGTATAGAAAAGTTATCTTTTACTTATCTCTTTAGGGACTTGATTATACAGATCACTATATATGCTGATATATGGCAAACTGAGCTTTTTAGGTCATAAGTCACCAGAGGTCCTCCCCACCCCCAGCATAAGTAAGTGTGCTTTTCAGTTCCGTGTAGCCTGGTGGAACAAATATTTCCCTAGAGCCAGACAGGTCTCAGCTAATTCCTAGCCCTGCCACTCCTTCCTGGGGGCCTTTAGGTAAGTTGCTCAGAGCTCCAGTGTCCTCATTTGTCAAATGAAATAAAAGCTTCCAAGAGTGTGAAAGTTAAGCATTGTGTAAAGCCATTTACGTAATTGTCCCCTACACCTCTCCTCTGAGAGAGACAAAAAGCAAGCAGACAAGGCAACTCCTCCAGGAGGAGTGCTGGTTTCCCTTCTTTCAAACTTCTAGATGAGACTCATTGTGCCTTCCCCTCTGTGCCTGTGGAAGCCAAAGGTCCTTCCCAACATTCTTTCATATTCCCAGTAAACTGTTTCGTGAGCACCTTTGACTGACACTCCTTGCTTCCACAGTAGTTCAGTTTATGAATGATCACCCCACAGCCCCTCACAAGCAGTTCTGTTCATATTACATTGGCACAGGTGTAGAAATTAGAGACTTTTATGGTTTTCCACCCATTTTACCCTCCCCAAAAGCAAAACAGAAAATACAAAATACTGCAAACAAGGCCTTCTGTTTATTGGCAGCCAACTCTAATAAAATTCTGGGGGAAGGAAAAATAAATATTACAACAAGACCAGCAACTTAGAATACTCAACAATTTTGTTGTCAATCTTCCTTCCAGACATCCATCCCTAGGGAGTTTTCTTTGGCCAACTAGGCTTCCAGGCCTATGCACTCTCGCCCACTCTATGGGCTCTGTTTGGAGATTAGAAGCTTCCTGAAACTCCAAATTCTTTCTCTGTTAAATAGAGTCAAGTACTTCATTTCTACTTCCAATGTTAAGCTTAGCTTCCAAGCCAAACCAATTGTACTCCTCAGCAGAAAATGTGGAGTAGGAGAAGTTCACTGAACAGGGTTTACTTTTCAAAGAAGTTGTAATACAGTTTTCCCCATCTTTAAATGATAGTTTGGAAGCTTATTCTTAATACAAGTGTGACTATAGGTCAACAGTGTGGTGCAGTGGGTGAAGCTGCCACTGGAGACACAGCATCCCATATCGGAGAGCTGATTCCTTTGAGTTTTGGCTGCTCTACTTCCAATTCAGCTTCCTACACCTGGGAAAGCAGCAGCTGATGGCACACGTACTTGGGTCCTGCCACACCCAGATGGGAGACCCAGATGGAGCTTTTGCCTCCCGGCTTCAGCCTGCCACAGCCCTGGCTGCTGTGGGCATTTGGGGAAACTGAACCAACAGATGGAAGATTTCTCTCTCTCTCTCTCTCCCTCTCTCCCTCCCTCTCTCTCTCTCCTTTCTTTGTGTGTATGTCGGTCACTCTGCCTTTTGAGTAAATAAATATTTTTAAAAAAACCTGCTATCTCATTGCTGATTTTAATGCTATTTATTAACCTAAAAATATAGAACATCTCATTATAAACATGAGTAAAACACACCCATGATCAAAGCTGTGTGAAACTGCAGTCTGATGTAAATGTTCCCAAATTGTAGTACTTAAAAAAAAAAGACCTTGATAAATACTGTTCAAGGCCTGCTCTTATCAGTAAATGGCCTTGATCTCTTGTTGGGTCCAGAGTTGATTGGGCTCAGTATATAACCTGCTGACTTCTGTTGATTTTGGACACTATAACTCTGCAGTGACAAAATACTTGGCATCTCTAAGCTTTCTAGTACACACATACACACTTCACTTCTGAAAGTTCTTTGTTCCAACAGACATAGTCGTGAGTTTGCCTTTTCATGCAAGTCTATTGTACAAGCTTTGAAAAGTGTGCCACCTCAAAATTAACAGAATAAAGAATAGAAACCAGTATCTCAACACATTAAAGGAGCAAAATATTGGGAATTCATGCTTTGATATTTATTTTTCAAGCATGCATAGAACCTAATAAGTAGCTAACAAAATCTGAACCCAAGATGACATGGAAGCTGGAGTATGGAAAAAGTTATTTTTATCTTTCTTTGAACTTTATGATGTCTAGAATCAGTTCAACAATCAAGAAAATCAACATGCCCCATGACTTCAGATTCTTGAATCAGTTGTTCAGTTTGATTCTCAGAATAGCAGCATAGCAATGGGCACATCAGATGGCATGTTTGAAGTTGTTTATTTCTATGATATCCTCATCTCACATAGGCTTTTGTGGAAATAGTGTAGCTTATGGCACAGCCTGGTTTACGGGGAAAAACCAAACCCACAACCTGAATCCTAGTCTTTATTCCAATACTTGCAATCAACAAGTGCTTAGATAAATCACTTCACTTCTATACAGTGTTGTACAGTCTAATTAATGTTTATGTTTTTATCAATATCAATTTAATTCCTTCTTTGCTTTGCTCATTGCTATCTGCAAGATAGGAATCATTGCTTTTGTTCTAAGATTTGTTTATATCCTAAATATTTAACCATTTTTAAATAATTTGATATTTGCTGAAAAATAGTCACCTGGTTGATAACTGTCCTGATCTGAGTCATCTCTCCTTATTCCTCTCAATATTTAATCATAATAAAATGGGACCCACAACACCACTATTTCTGCCCAAACAGGAAAGGAATGTTGATCTGCCCTTTCAAAGATCCTTTCAACTTTGTAATGCTTTGAGATTTCATGGGACTTATGACTAGGAGAGCAACAGATACCATAAGTATAGACCATACATTTTGCTTGGTCATTTCTGTCCTTAACTAAGTATCATTCGAATACTTTTCTTTGGATGAATTCTTATCTGATGTTTGGCTCAGATTAATTCTGTCTTTGCTGTTCTCTCCATCTCCCTAGAATTGTGAGAAATGTCTGGAATTTTATCTTTTAGTTGGAACACTAAACAAAATTCTTAGTCTTCAGAAGTACTATTTGGCTATAGCTTAGCTCATAGGTGGCCTTGATCCTTTATACTCAGAAAGCCAAATTTCTATGAGGTTAAAGGCTATTCCACACTAGAATTATACAATGCAGTGTCATTTCTTGTCAAAAAAAAAAAAAAAAATACATGTGCCCACCCAGACCCTAGGAAGGGAAAAATTTGTACCATCTCTGAAAGATAGGAGAATCCCCTTTAGTTTTACATGTTTCCGTTTTCCATAAATATCACTCTTGTGAGGCAGAGAAAGACGGTGACTCAGTAAGGCACTCCAGTGATTGTATATCCACAGAGACGACAGTTTGGACAGCTATTCGTGCACCAAACCATCAAGAGCTAAGAAAATCAGGTGAGACAACACAAAGGCTGGTTTTAGTATGATAAGTATAGATGCATTGAAGAAAACAGGAAAAAAGGAATTGTTCACATTAACCGTCTCTGCAGCGAAGCTGAGAGAGAGCGCTTGCCTCCCACTTGTAGAAAAGAGGGAATTAAGTCCAGACTTTCAACTTGAAACCCAGTACTAGACCCACCACAGTAGAACCCAGTGCTGAACAGGGCACCAAGATCTCCACCCCAGGCCAATACCTGCAAATTGAGCCTCTGCACCCCATTTACCCCAAAGGCCAAAGGGCTCTCTAACAAGCCTGCCCTAACTTACAAACAGTGGAGCCAGACTCTAGTCCTGAGAAACAGGGAAGGAAGTTGGACCAGGGTTTTACCTTGGAGCTCAGTACCAGGCCTGCCATGGGGAGAGCCAGCACCAGATATAGCCCAAAGGAAATGATTCTAGACCTGCCCCAGTATCAGGTGGAGGCCTGTTCCCTGGCTGGACACACTTTTGTTTAAACCTGCAGCGTTGCTAGCCAAGCAGCCTTGGTGTACACCCTCAAGACTGCAAGGAACTATGGCTCTGAGACTCAGTTGTGACCCAGCCTGTTGTCAGTCAGTGGCCAAGGGACTGTCCCCGTGACTCCTACACCAACCTTAGAAAGACGTGAGGAGGAAAACTCTAGCTGCTGGAGTGTAAGGCATTAAAGGAAGCACAGTTACGTCTTAGAAATGAGGGCTGGTCTGGAAAACCCAACACTGAGTAAATCCCAACAGTCCCTGTCCCCAGACCAGGGCCTGTGGCAGGAACCTCTGGGCCTTGCCCATACCAGGTGGAGACACATGGCCCCAGATGCCAGATGTTCAGATTAGTATTCTGGCTGGCCTCAACTCTGGCCAGTTGCAGTGATCTCAAGACATGAGACCACCTCAGCAGAAGACAGCCCATAGCAGAATGCAC